AAAAAACGCTCGGATGTTCGTTTCATTTCATATTTCGAATTAATGAGGCAAGCGCAGATTCGGACTTTACCAACAATTTTTTACCTTCTACTTCTTCCTCCTACTTTCTTCTATATTTTAAAAGAAATATTAATTTAAAATAGAGGCAATAGCTAAAAAAAATAGTTTTTTCGCTAGGCGAGACAAAATTAAAGCAGAAATATTAGCTATTTAGATCCTGTTCCGATCCTGGATTTCAGTTCGTAGTTATATAATGAAAACGAAAAGGTCTCGCCGTTAATAAAGAATCTCTACACTTGATACAACAGGTGTGAGGTGAGCTCGATGCGAGACTTGCATAATTATGGGGCTTTAAGGGCTCGTTAAATGTTACCTAAAAAAAATTCAAGTTGTTTTTTTTATAAGACAAATTGTTACCTTAAGGTGAAACTATATGTAACGAATTTGACCTTCGATCTTCACAAGTTTTGTTGCAAATCTTTGCTTCTTTATCTCCGAGTCCCTATATTTAACTCTAATTGTTATATTTTGCGCTAATAATACTCAATCACTTTACAATGTTGTAAAACGTGATGCTGATGTTGCGTGGAATATTTATTGATTGAAAGAGAAAATCTAGAGTGCATCCGAAGAGTGCATCTAAAAACCATCTTTAGAAGAAACTTAACCTTGAACGGCAGACAGCTTGACGCCTTCGATCGAACGGCCAACCATATAGCATTGGTGCAATTAAATGACTGGGTTCCAGAGATGGGATGTTGCAGGGCAGTGGCGCATCTCATATTTTAAAACGACATTGAATCCAAATTGAACAAAATGTTCACAAAAAAGCCTAGCAACTAACGTAAAGAAAATACTGGTACTCAATCTAGTTTCCCTTTAGAGGAAGAATATTTAAGCAATTAAATATAGAATATAAATATAAAATGTAAAATCAAGAGCCCGATATTCTTGGATTTCCTACGTCCTTTTCACAGTGACCTAAACGTTCCTACTCCTGAGGTATCATATAACACAACAAACCTATTTTAAATCACAGCTTGAAATATTCAACAGATGTTCCGAATATATTTTCGCACTTGCATCGTTTATCAAACTCTCGATATTTTTGAAAGGTAATAGTCTCCAGCATCATGTGTTCGTTGTTACTGAAATACTCCATTTATTTTAAGTGTTATCATTGTTATTGCTCGAGATGAAATTTTATTTTTTCTCTATATTCTGTTACAGTCGATTCGTTACGAACTTGGGTTCGGTTAGAACGGCTCTTTTTGTACTATTTGTTTTAGGTTTAGTAGTAGTTATAATCTCTAAAAAAGACCATTAAAAGTAAATACTGTTTAAAATTATTTAATGGGATTCATAATGTCCTACTAAAAGCGTGACTCTGTTGTTTTATTATTCCACCACCTGTTCAAAAAATGCATGGTTTGATTAGGTGACTTGTATGTATTCCAGAAATAGAAGCAGGTAAGTTCATAGGCGTACATTAGAACCCCCTATAAAAATATTGTTGTACCATATCAAAAAATTGGTATGAAGTATACAATTAAAGAAAACGTAGAAGGAAACAAATAACAGAAAAAAACCTGATCAGAACCACGTACCTAATTATTATCTACTGATTGAAAAAAAGAAATGTCCGTATTATTATTAAGTCCCTTTTGACCCAGAAAATTAAATATAGGATACGATTTAAGAGAGCGAGATTTTCTAATCTTACATCACAATCTAAATACCTACTATATAATAGTAGTTTAAATATAAAGAGCGGTCATCATGGGATTTTCCAAGAAATAATTCTGCATCTGCCAGAAAATGTTAATGGCGTTAACCATTTACACTGGATAATGTAATGACACGAGTGTGTTAATTATAAACCGAAGTACACTGAGAAATATTATTTATTCGCAGCTTTTTTCATTGCAATTAAATATTACTATTAAATATTTTTATAATACTTATCGTGTTTTATACGCAGTGAATAATTCATAAAATTAAGTAATTGAACTTAAAATGTTATAAATAAAAAGCGAGTGGCTTAAGCAAATAAAAATCGAAAAATATTTTTCTTCATCTTGGTGACAGATAATACGTTAATGTGCCCTAAGAACACCAATTTGTTCTCGAGCACGTGGTATATAAAATGTCACACTAATCTCAAAATTCGAACACATGTTCACTAAAAGATATTTTTGGGTTAGTATAGTTATTTGATATGATTTACAAGGCATTTATTAGCGAAAAAGACATCAAACCGAGTTTCTTGGTGGCAAAGTAACAAGGAGTTTGTTGAAAAATTTACCACTTTTAGAGATCAATTGGAGGTCACCCAATGAATACAGGGTGAGTCGGAAGGAACTTACCAAATTTTCCAAATGAATAATGAAAAACTCGTCCATTGACTTGTTTTCATGCTGTTATTCCCACTCAGTCTGTACTGTTATCCGCAAATATTAAAAATCTAATATGTTAATTTGTATTTGTCTTGCAAATTTTATTATTGCATGATTCATACGAGTGAGGTCGATGACATCTATGCATGAAATGACGCAAAATTTTGTAAGTTTACATTTTCTGATTTTACCGAAGTATAATTTAGTAAATGCAGGTATAATTTGAAATTACATCAATTAAAATGATAGTAATACATTAACTAATAAATAGTAGTATGAACTAACGTATGAATTATTTATTTCAGCAATGCAATAGTAATCAATAGATTTAATTAGGTATCTTAATGTAGGTACTGGTTATGTATGTTATAATTTTTTGAAACACAGTGTTCCGTATTTCTCTTGCTAAACCCTGTTTACATTTAAATATTAGTTGCTTTTGTATTTCACAACTTCAAGCATTATGAAAATAACCATCAAGGAAGAACGTTCCTGACCTACTTTATTCCCCTATATCAAACCCTTCACAGTGCATAAAGAATGCACCGCTCGACCTGCAAATGTGATGAAAATCTAAAACGCATAAAGGGACTTTTTAAATGCATCAACCGGATATATCGCATATCAGATTGAAGCGGACAAAACGGATTTAATATTTGCCAAATTTAAAAAAATGCGATGGGAAATTATTTTTTTAAAAATTAGTAAAAATAGCCGATTGTCTCATAAGAAAGTGACCTTTATAGAATCTGTGGGTTTAAGAAATATGGCAAATCCTCTTCCTACCAAAACTTTCTTCGTCGGTGAAATTTGTATTTATAAAATAATCTATCCCGAGTGCTCGCAATGCAAACAGTCCTATTAGTAATGCGAAATGTTTAGTGAACACATAGTTTTAATTGTTATAATATTATGCTTAACTAATTTTATTTTTTGCATAAATAGCAGAAACAGCAGCATTTATGGGTCTCGGTGAGTTAAAGTGTTTAATAATAAATTGCATCTAATTGTGTAATGTACATAACAAAAAAAAAACCGTTAAGTGTGTGAATCATTTTGGTTATTTTTTTGCAACTGAAGGTCAGAACCAAAATTCAACGACCCGATTCCGAATTCGTACTTACCGTTATTTGAAATACTTAGACAGTGACACATTTTCCTTATATTTCTAGAAATAATATAAATTCTTATGCAATTCAAAGGAAGCGGTTTTATGAACATCAGCCACAGTTTCACCCAGGTTTTATTCCCCAAGGATATTACGGATATGATCGATACACAATGCATGCAAAGCCCCATTCTTATAATCACATGATACACAGCCCGAATATAAGACCTAATCCAAGTCTCTACTACTCAAATCCTCATTATCAACAGTCTACTGAACAAAGCTTCGGATACAATATCATAAACGTCCTGAATTCGATTACAAAAAACGATGATCTACAGTGTGTACCAAAAATTGTATGCCAACTCACGTCAGGTAAAATAATTTTATTGCTTTAAGGAAATTAAGTTAAAGCAGACCAATTTTAGGTACCATTTCTAGTCGCCAATTAGGAGATAATTTACCAATAAGTGTCAACTTAGATTCCCTAAAAGGGTGAGTATGATTAATTTTTACATAAAAAAATTGTGCATGTTGTTTAATTGTAGTTTTTTAACTGTATTGAATGGTGCACAAACATCACCTTTCTTATATTTCGGGAAAGCAGCACTTCTTGGATACACATCGAAAGGAAATTCAAGAGTGTGCACTCAGCAATATCCAGAATGTCCTGCGGAACCTGATAAACTGGTTCAATACCTCAATAATTACAACGGAGGATTTTTCAGATATTTCAACGGAATAATCCCTCAAAATCAACAACTCTATCAGCCATCATTCTACAAGGATAATAGTATAGCGAAAAGAAGAATCCAAAATACGCCTGTGCAATATATATCTACTAATAATATTGCACCACATAAAAGCTTTATATTTCCCAGGGAAGACGACTATTACAAGCCAATAAAATATTTCAAATTTCCAGGGGAAACTTTTAGAACATCTAAAACACTCAAGGTTCCCGGCAATAAAGAGAATTTCGAAAAGTTCTCATCAAACCATAAAGCATCACCGTTTATCTTTCCTGATAGAACTGGAACGGGAAAATTAATATTTGATTCAAATTATTTCAATAACCAAGTACTTGAGAATAACCACAATGATGAAACTAATTTTAGATTTCCACATTATGATCATGGTACTTATAGAGCTGGTAAAAGTCTGCAATTTCCGGAAACATGAAATTATATCTGAATTCTAAAATAGACCTGATAAAACACTAGATAAAACACTAACAAATATTACAGTAAGACAATTTTCTTAGGTTAAATATTCAGTGCAAAATTCGATATTTTTTTGAAATTTTTATGTATTTTAACAAACATGTAAAAATAATGTAATATGGCATTTGACGAAAAAAACAATTATGAATTTTGAGAAATTTCTGGTGTTTCCTTTTTCAATGATTTCTTGAGAAGTACATCGAAGAAATCAAGTACGTTGTAAAGTGATATAATTTTTTTACAATTATAATTTACATTTATAAATAAATCTATAACAAATTTATATGCTGCTTAACGAGTCTAAATCATCTTTACACGATCTTCCTCTCTTGACTAACTGGTTACAAAATTGTTTCGATTGGACAAAATCGCCCAAAAATACACTAAGCAAGTAAAATTCCTTGTGCTTTTGAGGAGATGACTTGTAATTTCTGAAACATAAAAAAAATTAATATAATAAACTATAATAATATTTCAAATCAGTTTACACACATTTAATTGGAACACACGGAACATTGTAATACTTTTAATTAAGCACGACTTTTAATTGGAACCATTCAAACGATCGAAAACCATAAAACGGGCCATTTGTTGGCCAATCTAGCGGCGCACAAATAAAAAGCCGGATTAAATGGAAAAAAAAGTATTTATTTACCTGAAAACTTCGTCCCAATCAATGACCATTTGTTCTCGTCCACTTGACCTCTTCGCTTTTTCTGCGTGATGTAAACAAACTTTCGGATAAATGCAGACATTTTCGCCCAATTCAGAAACCAATCTTTTCTCTGCTTCAATCATATTGATCATTTCCGAGGTTATTTCACGTCGTGTTCGTCTATATGTACCTAATTATACATTTGCTTTAGTTATACATACTTCAATAATAAATATTTGACTATGTTACTGTACAAAATCTGCTCGTATTTTTTTCTATTACATTTAAAGTGAATCAAAATCGATAAATTACTGAATTAGTGAATCAATGTAATGTATGCTCGCAATAAAATTAATCAATATTTCTAAAGGTTCCACAGGGATGATACCGAATTATTAACGCCTAATAAAGCCAGCTTGCCCTTTGAATTAAGTCCTATTTGTACACATCACTTGCAACATGTCACCAACCAATCATAACTGAAGCGGAAAAAATCTATTAAAAAAATTACTTCTAAAGTTGTATGCTAATCTAGTTTATTGACGGATAGATCTAATGGAATCAATTGAGAAAAATCAACGTGGATAAATGCACCTATGCAATAATTTCGTTATCAAATGAGCTAAGTTTGGTTTGATTATTTCAAGGCATAAGTTTCATCACTTCAGTGCTTTCTATGTGACGAAATCGTTTCCTTCAATAGTGTCATCGGAAACATTAGAGTGTAATTGTTAGTTACATAAATTCATTGCAATAATTTTTAACCTTTGCTGATGAACTAATATGATGTGAAATTGTAAAATTTTACCTAATTTCTTTCGGTGTTGTACAAAATTAATTCAGCTTTCTAAATATGTTTCTGTGGTTGGTGCGCTATATTTGTTTTCGGCGAAATTAATTCGGTATATTACTTTCAATTCGTTATGAATTCTGCAAATTTTTTAGCTGAAAGGTGCTTATGAAAATAATGTCTTAAGAATTTCGTTGTATTCATGAATCCGACAACTTTCTAAATCGGTGTTTTATTTATTTAATTTAAATATCAAATTATCCCGAGACTTTCAGAATAAATAATGGTAATTTTCGGTTAAACATAAAGAGTAGGAAACCAGATCAAGTAAAAGGCATATCCTGAATCACCGGCAACAATGAAATCAATATTATTCAAGGTTTGCAAGACTTAAATTACTTTCTGGTACAAAAATTAACGCATGGATTGTTGCATTACATATGTTATAATTCTATAAATCTGAGCAAATTTAAATTACGAAATTAACAAATATAAGCATATAGAAAATAAAAAACATTAACTTACTAGGATTCAAAGAATAGGCGAGTTTCTTCACAAAATTCGACAGTCGAACGGCAACTATTATAACAGGAAATCCTATTAATTCTACTGGAAGTTCAAAGGCGGGTTCTTGTGCAGCCGTGATAACGGGCTGATCCAGAAATACAATAAACTGGATTAAGACGAAAACAACCCACAACAAACCGCGATTATTCATTTTAAAAACCCGTTGAAGTAAGGTGAAACCGACTAAATAATCTAAGTATAAGCCGAACTGGACTATTAAGAGTGAAAGTAACCACCTCTACTTGACATGGGTCTCCGACGGTATATATGTAAACTTAAGTCAAAAGAGATTTGATAATTGGCACCAAATGCTGTTAGGTAAGTGGAAGAATCTTCCAAGCAAGAATTTTTATTCATTAATTAAGATGTAGTATTGTTCTCGTTTGTAATTACGCCGCTATAATTATCTTTTATGTGCGATATGCAAAAAACACTATTGTTTTATGGAATGAATATACTGGATAAATATCAGCAACACTACTGGAAAAATCAACTCAAAGGGAAATTGTAACAAACTAATCACATTTTAATATAATAAAATAATCTACAACACCTTGTTATAGTAATTGAGATTAACGATTCTGGGTTAATATTATTGTTAGATGATGTATTACGTGCATAGGTACACTGTACTATCTGGTAATGAGTGTTTACATGCGATCTGTAATAATATTATGATGAGCGGTTATTACAAGATCGCCTGGGGGGTATGAATTTTAAAATATTTTCGTATAAATTCTATATTAATTCTGAAGAATAGCCCGGCGCAAATAATAAAAATGAAGTAAAATTCCGGTGGAAGACTTTTTAGGGTTAAGAGAGTCGAGTAGTTTCAAGTTTCAATGAGTTGTTTGTATTTATAATGCCGAGCACGTCATGTCAGGCGTAATCCAAAAAGTCTAATAAAACTTTTACACCATCCAGCTCCCGGTTTCTTTATGATAATGAAGTAGTTTTCATATACATTTTGTTTTTAAATTAACCCAAATATACAGATGTGGAAGAAGGAAGGCTGCGAGTTAATGTTTTAGAGAAAATAAATTAAGGATAGCACAAGGAAGTTTTATGACTTGTCTGCATAAAAATAAAGAATATAAAAGTTATATTAACCGAAACATCTCCTGAATAAATTTTATGTTACATCTTGAAAATTGGTTCTTATAGACTTATCACTCGAACAGTTTCGCATCTTTGAATTATTAGACCGCGGTAACGCCACGTCAAATTTTCTTTATGACAAGTAATATTGTACACGGTGATAAAATAGATAAGTGTTTATATACAGTATTTTCTTTATGACTTTCTTTGTTACGACCCACTTGACTGCTTTTTAATCTTGTTCTTATAACAATGTACTTACTAACAGCACATGCCAATATTTCTCAACATACTCAATACCTTTGTAAATAACAAAAAAAAACATTGAAGTATCCTACCTACTGTTTTAATCATTTCCCTCTATTAAGAAGTAATTTTCAAAATTTGATTTATTCTAAATAATTTTTGCGACGTTGATCTTTTATTGAGACATTTCTGCAAATTTAAAGTTTAGTGTGTTGTCGTTATGTCGATGTATCCTCATTAATCACTTTATATTGGTTACTAAAAAGGATCCGATAGAGACGTTCTAGAATCACTTAAATTTAATGGTTATAGCTCTTATTTACGACCAATTCGTTGATACCTGCAATTTTTTTAAAAAGTAACGACAACATAAATTTTCAAAAATATCCATTATTATTCCAACCTACTCATTAACTGTACTGGAATAGGTTATAACTGTACAGTATATAATAAATCATAGGAAAATCCAAAACGCTATCAATGCCAATACTGGTTGTAAGGAAAATGCGATAGTAATGCAGGGAAAATTAATAGTTAACGCTGGTATTCATCTTGACAAATATAAGGGGTTGGTATAATTCAGTGGAGATGAAAGCAAAGGCAGGATTAGGTAGTTTAAGAAATAAAATCAAGCAAGAAAACAAGTAAACAACAGTAAAAAATGTCTTAATAATTCATAAAAGTTCATAAAATTCAGTTGTTGAAATTTACAAATTTATTTAGTATAAAATATATGTAATAATTAAAAACCATTTCCTGATGTAGAACTTATGGAATCAAGCTTAATTATTTAAATTTATTTTTTTCATACTTTTCATAAAATTTTGCTCGCTAAATAATGTGACAACATTAGTTCTACATTAAAGTGAAAAAAGAATAATAGAGGAAGAAGAATGAAAATAAATAAAGTGGTAAGTAGGAAATGGATCCCTCCCTGCATAATTTTTCACCAATTTCATTTACAATATAAATAAAAACATCGATTTTATTACACTATTAACAAATGTACAATTCTTACAAATTAAATTATCACAATAACTTAAGTCGCTCCCAGAGCAGTTTCTCATTGATATAATTAGTTATTAAAAAGTCAGTCATTGATTTCAAGTCAATTCAATAATCGTATAATGTGTCGAAACAAATTTTATTATCATTGTCATAAACTTTCTCGGTCGATCGCACCCTGAAAAAAATCGAATCATTAAAGGGAAATGCTTTTCTGAAATTGAAGATGTTTTATAAAAACGATTTCCTTCTTTCATCAAGTAGGGGATCCCGAGCGCTAGCGCATTCTGACTTTTTTCATCATCTGCAGGACCTGTAATCCTGGAAAGGGACATTTCGGGAAAAAATTATGGCAACCGTTTCCGTCGACTCCGTTTATTAGTTGACCCATGTGTGCGGCGAAATGGTATTTTGATGTCAATTCCGCAGTCGTGCTAATCGTCGTATCCCTGAAAACAACGCACATTAAATTAGATTGGCAGGGACTCGCCCGCACCCATTATGAATACTTCGGATATGAAACAGCCCAACGAGCAGGAAATACTTTTTATTTTGCATGAAAGATAAAAAGTTCGAAACTTTTGCTTCCGCAATAATTTTTTTTATTCGATTATTTTAAAACCGTGTTGTCCTTAATGGTGTTCGTAATAAATTTTTTTCGTCGATTATTCAATTTTCGCCGTTTTACTTACGAATTATCCCCGTTAAAATGGCCTATAAATTGCCGGTTTAATTAATGCGACAAAAATTTAAAAGGGCTATAAATAATTCCATCGGCGATAGCCGGAGAACGGGTTATGTAACGTGATGTAAGTAGGTACCATTCGACTCATCGACATCATTGTTAAGAAAACGCGGGACCGGCATTACAAGAACGGTTATGTAAGCGAAAGTGAAAGCTGGGATTTAAATAATGCACGCGCGTTCGTTCTACTAAATAAATATTTCTTTCATTAACTAACCCGGTTAAGAAAATTGGACGGAATTCGTTAGCCTTAAATAATTTTTTAATCGACGAATTAGCACCGTTGGGAAAATTATTTAATTCTTACATAATCGATATTGTTGGTTAATACCAGGAAAATGCTATTTCAGTTTCCGGAAACTTACCTTAGTAAACTGAGGAGTGACTTTTCGGAGTCCGTGAGTTTTTCTGGAGTAGCGGAAGAAGTCAATTCACAAATGAGCTTCGGCAAACATGCTTTCTTAATGGTCTTCAACAATTTCGATTTTGATGATTGAGAACCTATTAAACAATTTACGTGAAAATAAAAAGCGAAATATGATCAAAACTTAAAAATTAATCCGGTAGCATTTGGCATGCTCAGCCTTTTGTTCGTGATTATGTATGTAAAAAAAAGAAAACTCATTTTATTATCGTCTTATTTTCCTATTGTGAGAGTTCGCGAGCGCGCCATAATAAAATAAGGGAAATACCTGGAATTTACATAAAGCGATTTTGCCATAAACATCTTAATTTGAAATTTAAATACATTTTCGACTGACGCCGTTACGACTTTTATATAATGCATAAAAGATTTTTCGGAAAATTAACGTTTACAAGTTCATATAGAAGCGACCATAAAATTTTAAAATGACTTAACAAAAACATAACAAGTATAGATTACGCCCTTTTCACGGCTAAATGTAACAATAAAATTAATCGTTATTTTACGTCAGTATTCTTATCGTTAAAAAGACGTTAAAGACCATAATAAACATTCAATAACAGAAGAAAAATGTTTTAACATATTAAGGGTAAAAATCGGAAAATTTATCTAAATTTGTTGTGTTAAAAATTTATTTTTTTCTCTCAAGTACAAAATAATACTTTTACTTGTTTGAGAAAAAAATCTTGTTATTTTTAAAACAACCGAACCTTGCCTTTAGCACTTTTTGACACCTTAACCTTTTTGTATAATATACCATACATAATTCATACTACACGTTAAACCTATTTTGCAATTCGGTAAATTAAAAATAATCCAGTATCGGAATTGATGACCTTGGAAAACTGTATTTCTGCCTTCACTTTCAACAATTGCTTGTCGCAGGAAGGTCACAAACAGTATTTAAAATACGACAGCCTTTAATCCTTCGGCATGTTTAAAACAAAACGTAAAAAGCTCATTCGTTAAAATTTTCTATGCCAGTAAATTAGTTTGCTACATATTCGCCTTTCTACAAGTGATTTATTGATATACTATGTATATCTTTGTGTAATAGGAGCAATTCGTGCATATCGCATTTCCTCCATTCGATCATTTTTCCTTTTCATTATAACTAATTGGCTAGCCTATGTAAATGTATAATTAACAAGTAGGTAGCTAAATAAGTCAATTAATTAATAATGGAGCGATAGCAATTACTCCATTCCTTTTATAACCAAATACCATGTAATGCGCGTTGTTACAATACACTGAATTACGACAAATAATATTTTCTAAAAAATTTCACTACGTTTTGCATTCTTTTTCCTGTAGAATTAAACAATTAAACCAACTGTTGTAAATAAAGTATATTTCAGAATATTATGAATGCATTTGTGTCTCTTTTGTGAATTTATAGCTACTCAATCGACCGGAGTTATTAAGTTAAAGAAGCAATTGTGCAGTTTCAAAGAACCGGAACAAATTTGACAACATTCACTGACTATTTAAACACAATAGTGCGCATCGAAATGAATAAACGTTGACATTGCATCTTGAGATTGATTTCTTACGAAACATAATCAGTTTATTTGAAAATTATGGCACAGTTTTATTTGCCTGTTAACTGAAAATTTAATGAAGTCATTTAGTTTTAGTACTCCAACAAAGCATCAGGCAACTAGATAGTTTGTGTGATGAATCGAAATTATGTAGAAAATAAATTATGTAGTATGAATTACCTATGATATTAAAAGAAAATAAAAATCGAAATATTAAAAATAATAGAACATTACCTAGATGTTTGACGGAGTCCTCTTCAATATCAGCATCTATATCTATGTCAGTCTTCGAATCCCCATAGCCTGGATTAGTAGGTCGCGGCGTAACAGTCCTATCTTCCGATGAATTTCCACCGATCAATTTGTGCAAAATCCCCGAATAATCAGTAACGATAAAGAACAACAAGAATACAGCGAACACCAGCCTAAATATAATTTTCCCTAACACCATGATTTTCATCACACTTTTAAGACATTTTACGACTGATTATAGTTCACTTAGTGTCGACTAAAATTTGTTCCTTGACTAGATTACCTTGTAACTCACGACTGTGGTTCCCCGCTCTTTTCTCGTCTCCCAGTCGAGTTCGCCAACTAACCAACCATACCCAACTGCAGTGAAAGTAATGCCAAATGTTTAGCTGTTGTATCATAACACTTTACGTTAACGTAACCCACCAAATTGACTGTGTCATTAATACGAACATGTTCCAGTAAACTTATGGTAATCCGTTTGCATCACACTGTTGTGATGTAAATGTATGTCAGTGGAACTTTAAAATATTTTTAATTATTTAATTGGAAAAATAACCAGACTGAATGTGAACGTGTTTGTTTGTTGGTGAATATGTAAATGTTATACCAAAAGTTGATGACTGAGGTGGATTTTTAATTTTTTTTTTAATTAGTTTACAAATTTCTCTGGAAATATTTTTTTTTGATTCTAGGATCGTTCTCAAGTGCTTAAATATTTTGAAAACATCTCTCTCCTTCTTGAAAAATATTACGATTGTTAAATGTATACCAATTTACTTTGTATTCCGGGGTACTTGGTATACCATAATATGTAATTATTAAATACATTCAATAAATCGTGCGTTGTAAACTATAAATAAAACGTTCCCTTTCGAAATGAATAAATAATGACGCTATAGGTATATTTTTCAAATTTAATTCATTGTCGATATGAAACATCGATAGCAAATACATAAAATCGTTCGAGCGATGTGACACACTTCCGATTCCTCGCGCCACATAATTGTTACGAAAGTGAAAATACAACTACATTTCGTTATGCCACTATTACGTGGAATACCTCTAGACAGCTTCCTTGTTTAATCTGATCGCTTCGCAGGAGAAAGGTAAGTTACGCGTTTATTATTTATGTATTCACGAGCCAGCGACACAAACTTCGTTTACTGCTTTCAATTGAACGTTTCCTCACTTGGCTACGGCACCGTGAAAAAAATTAACGAGGAAATAGAAAATATATTAGCACCTTGTGCATCTTTTATTTGCTTACGGTGTAATGGAATTTACTGGAAAAATTAGGCAATGAAGGTGAAAGGAAGAAATTATGTTTTCGATGGGATTTGTTTTCAATATATTTTTACGATTGCAATACAGAGTAATTTGATGACCAACCCCCTAAATGTAATTTAAGCCATGCGATCTATCCAACTGATTAGTATTTGGTGAGAACCGACAAGTGTCCCGCGTTTATGATGGACATTTGATACAATAAATTGTGTATCATTATAAGCATATCATAAATTTGTTGATCGCCGATTTACCGATATCAAACAATTTCCAACGTGACTGATTTAGTTTGAACGGAAAATTTCCCAACGGAATCGCTTCCCGATGGAATTACTTTCCATTTGGTTCAGACTGAATTTATCAAACAAATAGATACACTGCGATCGGGCCGCGTTTAGGGCCGATTTATCTTTTTCGATCGCCTCTTTATTAGCGCAGTCATTTCAGATATTTATTGGTTCCATTCAACACATCATAGATGAAAAAAATGCATTTTATGCAACCGCAAATGGCACTGCCGAAAGCCGAATGCATTATTCTTTGTTTTCATATGAGATATGGAGCTCGTCTATTTCGATAAATAAAACACTTGCAGATGAAAGATTAAACCTCTCATAAATTTCGCGAAACATAATAAAAAGTTTAAATTACTAATAACAGTAACCGATGCAAGCACGTGTAAATGAGTTTAAAAATTATTGTTTTGCAATACGCTCTTCACTGGTTAATTAAAATTGAACCAGTTATAAATTTTTATTATATAATTTTATAGGCTATTCCAAAAAAAAACTTATCTAATCCAATATGCATGAAGTATATAAAGTTGATGAAAGAAAGTTTCGTGCTCTTAAATTTTTACTCGCTTTTTGCTATAAAATAATATGAGACAATAAGGTGTTGTAAAAAGGAGCGAATCAAAGCAATCAAGCATTCTTCTATATTGAAAAGAGAAAGTAATTCATCTAATTTAAATTAGAACTATTTAATTGAGGCAATTATATGACATCGCCCGTTTTTTATTAGCCATAGGTTGTTAAATACTGTTAATCAATAATACATTTCCATAATTTTCTATACATAACGAGCGAAATTTGAGCATTTTGCATTTAAATTGGAGTTTTATATCCTCTTGATTTTTTTTCTTAATCAATTTATAACATGTTAATAATCTATTTGAGTTTAGTGGTTCCATTTAAGGGCCCTCAGAGAACACATTATACTTCAATTACTACCGTCGCACAGAAAAAAATGATCTGTTATACGCGGGTTAATTTATAGGGTGGTCCCTTTCTTGTACATTATAATTCGATGATGGCAAATTTGCATGCAACAGTCAAAACGTAAATCATAAATTGACCTAAATTGAGCTCCTAAATTCGGTTGACCACGAAAAATTGCGTCGTTAAAAATAAAATAAAATAGGATGAATATCGGTTGTTGTACCAATAGGGAATAATTAAAAAAATTCTTAACAACGACAAGTTTTATTGTATTGCAGATCGCAAATGAAATTTTCACAATTTCCATATTTATGCCAGTATTCGAATGGGTGTAATATTTCGTACAAAATTTTCAACCTATTTGTCGACAAAATTGGATTTTTCGAATGACCGTTGGAATGAAGCTGATAAAACAAAATCCATTCGCTTTGTTTTATTTTCGGTAAATAATTCTACGAATTTACGTATAATTTTTTATTATACGTAACACACGTATTATTTGAGGTAATTTATTTCCGACTGAAAGGCGTTCAAATTAACAATTTTCATAAAAATGAAATCTCATTCTAAAAGTAGAACACATATGCGGGAAATAATGGAATAAATCACCGTCATATAATTTCCCGAGGCAGAATTCGATTCCGCAACAATTTCTTCCAGTAAATACCCTATTAAATTTAAAATGAAATGATAATGTGCTTCCCTTTCACGGCATTCAAATAAGATGTGAACCCCTAATTTAATCTATTTTATTCATAACGTCGTTTGATAAATTTTTAAGCCGGCGCGACTAGATTGAAGACAGAGGTTGTAATCCCGGTAATATTTCATCGAACCTCAAAAGGAGAAAGCAAGAGAAGATTGATAACCGAAGGAGATTCGTTCTATCAAAAACTTTAACCAGTAGTCAGTCCATGTTCTCAATTGCATATAGAGTCGACACAATTTGTTGCGTGTGCAAATGCTGAAGGGTAATCCATCATCTGGAACACTCTTTCATTTGCCGTGATATTATTTTATTACAGGGTCGAACTTGAAGGTTCAAATAAAGTCGATAGGAATTTTCATCGATCGCCAATAATCAAAATTAAAATCGCCGGTTAATCCCGACGAAGATGGATGGTTTAATTACCGAATCGATTCAATTACTTTACTTATTAAACCGAACGCTTAATCCTTTCAAAAAGCCCACGCCGGACTTTCCAATTGTTGTATTTCTAACGGACTGCGAAATTCCGGGGTCCGAGTCCATCGGCGCTATAAAAGAGTCATTTATTTTAGTTTTCCGACGGCTCGATTCCGCCTAGTGGTCTCGTAAATATTTTGGCCGTCCACCTGTCAACGGAGGTGATCAGAATATTGAAAGGGGACCGGGCGAACAGAGAGATGTGACGATGCGAAAGCGTGACACCGCGGCAGTTGGGACAATAGCAAACAATTGAATTTCGAACCTGGGATGTATGTATTCCCATTATCAGCAACAGATTACTATTTGCAGAGAACAAAACACGTTCTGTAACGTGTTAATGTTCAAATAGACACGTCTATGAAAGGCCAACCTGTAGAATATTAATGGAGGTCTAAAAGGACCCGGCGCGAAAGGGTGAACCAAACACTTGTCAATTTGATTTATTCAGTCGAATATGGGGCATTTACCGCGACTAATTGATCGAATGCGCTCCTTTATTGCCACTCGTAATTGCATTAAGTACTGAAATAATTTCCAATTTTTACTATTCTTCAATATCTACTGCATCAAATCGTCAGCGAAATCAGTCTTTGCTGTAAAAGTTTTTAACATGATGAATATGACGAACAATAAATTCATATAAATCATTGTCAAGGAAACGATTGCGTACAAATTCAAACCACGTTACGTAAGGTGCAGCAATAAATAAGAAATAAAAAATTTAATTAGAATAGAGCAGGTAAATGATTTCTCTTTATACATTGAAAGATCGGCCGATAATCTCGGTCTTAATTTCAATCTTTAAAAAGTCAGTCCACTTTGAGATACATTAGGAGAAAGTTAATACAATTTCGTTTGTTTAATGCACAATGAAAGTGCATATAATGATGCATTCGTTCGCTAAAAAATATTTAATTCTCTCCATTATTTCATATTCGTCATATAAAAATGATATGTAATTTTCCGAGAATTAACTGAATGTGAAAGGAGTATAATTTTACTTCGTACAAAAAATTTGCTATGAAAAAATATACTAACAATTCCATTACATCTCGGAAAACGTAGGGAAATTTTAACGGTAACAAAAGGAAAAAAAATGTTTTTCATCCAGAGAGAAGCAGAAAAGAGTATCGAAAGGCATCTTAAGTTTCCCCGTACAGCCATAAATTAAGCGGAATGCGTTAAATGGAAACAGCACTGCCTTTTATTGTGTCAAAAACATCCCACCATTACGAGGGAAATTTTGAATAAATTCGAAAATATGTGTGTTAAACGTATGTAAAAGCTTTCGTTTCGCCGATATAAATCTCCGAACGTTTTAGATCGTGTAAGCGAAGGACTAGAGCATAATAATTCTTATGGAAGGTTAATAAAATAGAGTGAACGTAAAAAGTGCATTAAAACATCGCTGGCAACCTTTGCATGAAGTCATAAATTTGAAATTCAACGGCTTTAAAAAGTTGATATGTGCCATTAGTGTTTAAACTATCATAAATCGCCGATTGGTATTCGATCCTGCCCGTCCGCATGGGAATCAGTTTGCTTTCAAAGTAAGTGCTCGACAACATTTAAGCTCGCCCGAGTATGAAGTTTATTTGTCGCTGCGAGTCCGAGACAGAGGCCCGAATGTACCCGGAAAAAGTGTAGCGCTCTGGGCGTGCGACATCGACAGTTCTATTTTAAAAAGGGGATTGCACCCTAC